ATACCAACAACTTCTAACTTGTTTGATTCTCATGTACCAGAGGGAAAGCAAAATACCACAATCGATTGTCCAAATTACGAGATATATTTCAGAACCAAATGGCGGATTGAAGCGGAAGCTAAGCTAGCTAGTTATCGAGCACGACAGCCACACGACGGAGTACCAAATGGTGGGGATGCCTGACCGAAAGCCTTCAGCTAAACAAGTCGACTTAAACTCTAAGGGTCAGCATCCAATGCTCACTGATGATTCTTGTGGTCAATAATTTTGGGGGAATTATTTACCGCTACAGCCCACTCCCCTACTAGTGGGGCTGTGAGGACCCTGAGACAGAACCAGCCGGAAGTAAAAAATACTTGATGGTTCTCTTTCGGGTGAAAAAATCTTCCGAGCAGCTTGGTGGCGTGCCTATCGGTTTGCTTGCTTAGGTAATAGGGAGTTTGTAAATCGCCTCCTTGATTTTGTTGGTTGGATCCCGTGCTTCGTTTGTTTCTTGTCCAGTGCCCGTCGCACCTGGAAAACAAAACAAGAACGCTAAGAACCTTGTTGAGGAAAATGTACCAAATCGGTGTTTTTAAAAAAATTATTTGAATCTAGCATACAGTAAAATAATGCAAAGTTTAAGACATCGAAAAAGCATACACCTAATTTTTTTAGTGCATGCAAACTGTACGGTTTGAAAAATTGTTTTACCTGTGTTTGGTGATGCAATATCAAAAAAATTGATGTCTGTAAAGAAACAAAAATAATTAATACCACAAACAAATGAGCTGGGTGAATAGCACCGCTTAGTTGTGTTATATAGGTGTGGAGATATTCTAGGAACCTTACGGTACGTCTAGAACGGGTTTTCTTAGGGAGCTCGACAGAAGATTCGGTAGCTGTCGCCGTGCTAGTGACTTCTTCGAGGACTAAACGATCTTCAGTTACTCGTGGATTATGGGGTACACTTAGCTCTATACTAATAGGATTACCTTCCAAGTAAACCGGTTTCTGATGGTCAGGAGCAAGTCGTCGTGCCTCAGATGTCATGGGCTCTCCTGGGGTTATTAGATGGTGCATAAAATTGCTGGTTATGCACGGTAGGTCGTTAGACGGGCAGCTGAGTTCCGGATATTTATCAACAATCGGTTGAAAAATTTGGATCAAAAATTGTCTTTATCTTAACGAGCGACAATCTGGGGCCTATGCAGGTGGTGCCTTTGATAGACAGACTAGTAGTATTGTCAATCAGTCGTTTTCGGAGGACGTCTACGAGTACTGTTTTTGGAGTAAAGTAAATCATTATTATTATTAAATCTTGGCGATTAAGTAGGTCCGTGTCAATGATGGGCCTTGTGAAGTCAGTGAGAAGGAAAATCCATCGAATAGGTTTGCGTAAACCTATGTTCAGATAAACGTATTTCCTATCAAAGGTTGCGACTGGTCCTCCATTTGTAAGTTGAAGGTAGGTTCCTTCTGTCGATCTGCTGCTGTAGCAGGAAGGACGCTGACTTCGGTGCCTGTGTCGACTAAATATCGAGTCTGGCTTATCACATCATGGATGTAAAGAAGGCTTTGTGCCACCGGTGACGGTTGCCGCTAACGCGTGCCGGCGGGATAGTTTCCCACAGACTTTGAGGCATTGCCGAAGTTCAAAGGCTTACGGCAACATTTCGCTTCTTGGCCATAGGTGTTGCGGTACCAGCACCAATCAGGGTTTTTCAGTGAACATGGCCTGAACTTAGATCGACCACGTGAGTTTTGGCGTTGAGGGAATTTAGGACGACTGTCGGAGGAGTCAGAAGGCATGTTACCGCTACAATGTAAAGCTTCAACATATGAAGAGGGAGGAAGAGAAAAAATGAAATCATAGGAAGATACGACATATCTAGAGAATAAGGTCATCGAGAATGGATGAATCTTGGCAACAATTATTGTCAGGCGATGTTCATGAGTACACCAATAAAACAGTTCGTTCGTTGCTTATGCAGAACAGGCTTCACCCATCCAGAAGTAAAGTGAGTCCTGGCATTAGTCGTGGAGGATTAATCACACACAAGTGGTAAATGTGCAGGCCACGTAACTACTTTCACGGTAGTCCACTTCGGGCACAGATAGCTTGGCACACTTGTACCGGGCGATATTATGCAGTCATGCGAAACCGGCGTACGTCCAGAATTAAAAGTTTATCACTCCTAAGAGGAATGGGAATTACTTAGAATGGGTACTGAGGGCAGCTTACAAAGCTGTCATGAGGTGAAATATGGATCACAGGACGACCAACTCCGAAAGCTGGATCTGCATTCCCTCAGCCACCTCAACATCAAAGGCCACCTCATCATGACATACGACTTAATGCATAACTCAATGTGAGAAGGGCCCAATGGTATTCCTAGGGATAACCTTCACATTAGTGCTAGCCCGAGAGTAACGACGAAGGCGTGCACTAATTTTTTAGCGGTTCTGATTCAAGAAATTCGCTACTTATGAGAGTGGCATCCACTAAGTTAGCTAAGAGCTTGAAAAGAAATCTAGACCGCTGTGTCAAGGGAGCACTTCCGCACACGTCTACTGGCTAGTTTCAGTTGTTCGTCTTGGTAATACGAATATGCCGCCTACTTTCGTATACTGCACTACAACATTCTATCTTTTACCTCTTTCTTCATCAGCATCAAACCTTCCTGTTCCGTTTTCTGTGCACTCATAGTTCAACAACTCTCACTCTCAACCATCTTTTCCTACATTCCATTTATCTTGCCTGCCCATCGCTCCGATCTCTTTTCGATTCGCTTATTACAGCCTTCTTTTGAGCATTTGTCTATTCAATTTGAGGGTTTCCAGGGTAGGCAAAATTTCGAAATCCCAACAGTGCCACTGTTCTTGTACGAGTCATACATTCTCTGAAAATAAAGAATATACTTCTTTCTATGCTCAGTAGGTCTGAGGCAGCCCAATGTTGAGTTTCTTGTTGGCGAGTCTGTATAGGCCGTATGATTCCTTGACTCACCTTGTCAATGTAGTTGAAGATTGAACGATCAATTCAGGGTTGTTCGTTCAAAACCAACTTCCCCAATTTTCGCGGAGGCATCAACACGACAGTCATCGTCTCATCGGTTGCTGTTCAGAAAGAAGTCAGCAGAAAACCGTTAGAAACTGTCAGCCACGTCTCCCAAACCGTTTATGCCCAGCTCTTGCTGCACTCGGGCTCACACTGTTCCTTGAAGTTTCTCAGAAACGCTTAGTAATAACGGACGCAAAAACCAAAAGACCGATTGGTGACTCGAGGATTCCTTATTGTTACACCAACATATAAACACTGTTACAACTAAGCTCTGTGAACAAATATTACAATAATAAATCACAATATTACTTCTGATGGTTTTCTGCTGACTTCTTTCTGAACAGCGACCGATGAGATGATGACTGTCGTATTGATGCCTCCGCGAAAATTGGGGAAGTTGGTTTTGAGCAAACAACTGTGAATTGATCGTTCAATCTTCAACTACATTGACACACCTCTTAGCCGCTTATAACAGTTCTATGTCTTTCGCGGGGCCCTCACTTCTGCTGCTGTTCTAAAGGCAGGGGAGGAGATATGTTCGTTTAATTAGGGAAAAATATATTATTGGTAGCAGAGTAGTGCATCTACCGAGAATTTATAATTTCATTTACCCAGACTAGCCTCCAGTTACGTGGAAACATACTGTGGTGAATGCATTAATATAAGAATGCGTCAGTGGCACAGCGGTTTGGAATCTCGCCGATCATGCACATGGTTCGGGGTTCGATCACCTACCGGCGCACACCTGATATCTATGGTTCCCCTCAAAATTTGGGCTACCAATATCACATGCTGAAAATTCCATACCTGTACCATAAATACGGTGGGGAATCAAGCTGTAATAAAAAAGACAAAACAAATGGAATGTAGGCACAGAGGCTTTGGTGTAAGAAAAGTGAGATTGTGTGAGCACACAATCACTTTGTCATGTGAAAAACAATTGTATCTCTTCTCTTCATCATATCCCAGATAGAGAGATGCAATCATAAAATTCGAAACCTTAAGAAATCGCTATGGGCCTCATTGGTCTCCACTTTTCTTTTTCATCGGGTCAGGAGATTTCAGCAAACACGGTTGCAGGACAGTCAACATCGTAACATAGTACCAGTTGTCCCACAGAGTAGTTAAATTTTGGGATTAACGCCTGGAAAAATCTCACACAAGGTCAGATGCTGAATAGAAAAGACTAACAGAAGCTTAAGGCTTTCTACCTTAAATCAAAAGTCTTAATCATAATTTATCAGTCACACCGGTTCGTTTGTTAGGTTAGAGAGAGATAACCATAAGAGTTGGGCTGGGAGCAGATTTGGGTTAGCCTCACCAAAATAGAGAGCTATTAGGGACGGTAGTGAATAGATTTGGATGACGTTAATGCTACGTTCATTTGAGAATAAGGTCAGCGAACAATTAGGGACGAAATTTACTTTTTAGCGCAACTACTCCTTCCAAGGTCATTGTTTACTTGGATTGCTGTAATGGGATTTTACCTGTTATACAAAGTTTCTGTGTATTTCATCGTTCTTTTATGAAGCAGTTTGCCTTATTGTTAATCGATTTTATTTTGTTGTGATTCATCAATTTCTTGGCTGATAAGGTCGATGCACAGTTTAAACCTAAAGTGATGCCGAAGGCTAGGTTCTTCAAGCCAAGGCGCAATGACCTTATTAGTGAGATTTCAAGTCCGACGAACGTTGTCAAACATGTCCACGTTACTTATGATCAAGAAACAGGACAGTTTCGTGGGATACCAGATTACTGGAAAGAGATGATAGAAAACTCAAATTTCTCAGTTGAAGATAGGAAGAACAACGCAGATAAAATTCTGAATGCCGTAACTGCCTTTAAAGAATCTCAAAGAACAAAATATCTGGTTTTGAAGGCCTAGATAGCGTTGACGAAGGTTTCTGAGGATTGTCTGGTTAATCAGTCTCTTGCAGATGATGAATTAGAAAAGAAAATGCGGTTATTCATTCTAAATTCAAAGGAAGAGGTGAAGAAAAACAACCAGCTTGCTACGCCTTCGACAGATAAAACGAATTCTCCGGATCACGTTTATGTTGACCGGAATGGTGCCCGTACTCCGCCCGTGCCACCACCAAAACCTTCAGTCAGTGACCCAAACAAAGTTTGTTTTTGACTTACTGATAATTTTTATTTTGCTATAGCAAGCAGTCCCTCTCCTCCGCAAGCGTATTCGTAGGAAACTCACAGATGAGGAATTTTTTCAGAATTAGGTGAGTTGGGACAATACAGTTTCACGTCGACAAAACCACTGTTTATGTTACTGATTTATTTTGTGTGATTGTGTATTATTATATTATCAAGCACATCAGCCGAATATTGGCTTTAAGTGTTATTTCAAGCAGTTGTAGGTTGGTGATGACTGGCATTTTCTTTGTTTTTATTTCAGAATCAGTAGTAACTCCTGGAAACCCTCGTGATGTTTATTCTGTGGAGAGTGAGCTTGGAACAGGGTATGTCGATAATTATAACAATAGCTTTTTGGGTCACTTGTAGCTGACGTGCTGCCTTTGACGCTCACAAGTGCAACTAAAAGACTAGCTAGCTTGGAAATCACTTAATATTCCCTGAATCTTTGAAATGTTTGCTGAAACGTCGATAATTCTGGTGACGAAATTTCCACAATGAAATGTCAAAGTTTAGAGAATATCAAGTAACATACATCCTCACAAGAAGCTGTATTTCTCTTTAAGTTTATATGCTGGATTATTTTAGGTGTATAAGGACATAGTTTTGTTATCGATTGCATAAATAGTATTGGTTATCCTTCTATTAGGCAAAAGTCAGGAAAATATGTCACTGTGTAGATTAGTTTTTGTCCAGATCATAGACCTGTTGATTATGCGTTCGTACTCCTCCAGTTGTTTAAATAATGTAGGGCATACGAAAAGACAAATATCATTGTATTATCTGACAGCAAGGTGTCTATGACCAATTTAACATAATAGCAATACTATGTGAAATTACCTTTAGTGATTGGAATACTTGAAATGCCTGACGATGTCCAGAAGTTGTGTATAAAACACCTCACACAGTTGAAAGGTTCGTAGATCTAGTCAGTTAGGTGACTGCTAGTGGACATACGGCAGATGCATTTCTAAAACATTTAATGCCACAATACTGTACGCGAATTCGGACTGCTTGTGATGGTCATGTTGCTGAAATAAATGTGAGAATTCAGCAACAAGGCTTCTAAGCAGGCACTCCTACTAAGGTTATTTAAATACCACCCACCAACCACGTTTTTCCAAATATTAAGCAAGAACTCATACACACTGGAAAATAGCACTACTCTAGTGCGGAAGCGTCAGCATATGGAGCGATATTAATACCTGTGATCTATTGATTAAGAGTTCTTTATCAAGACGAATAAACCGCTATTGGTCCTAATGGTTGGGCCTTCATATCTCAGCATCCACGAAATTTTCTGATCGTAATGACTACTTTTATAGCTTCATACCACCAATGTCAGATGCATAAAAGTTGTGCACAGTGTGGCAGGAGCTTAAGTTGTACTGTTGACAGCAGTGTTGCATAAGAAGGAGTTTCGATTATTATGCCATCTCCCCCATCTCAAAGGCAGCATAGTAGAATCACATCTTTCTGAAATTTTTATGCATTGATCCACCCTGCAGTGATACGTGGTCAGCAGTAATTTTCTTCTTACGGACGGAAAACCACTGACCTATTAGTAAACTGTTTGACTAATCCAGAGTAGAAGCCATCAGGTTTCCCAAGAAGTAGCAAACATGTGCGAATAACTTATATGCTTCAGCACACAGTTTTTGTTTATTGATCATCCTATACTCTCTCACTCCCCAAACTTCACCCCTTGCTGTTATTTATTTTCTGTAGTTTAGTTTTTTAATCTGCTCTTTTGCAAACTAGAATCAGACAGATTCCAATTTTAAACCGAGGTACATTGATCACGTCTGATACCTCCAGCAAATTCCCCGGTATTTACCGACATCCAACGGTTGCCATTTTTCTTGAAATTCGACTCAATTATTCGTTTTGTTGTGGCTGAAAAAGGAGTGCCGAGGAAGTATATTCTACTGACGGAAATACTTTTTTAATCCCGATGGTCGCATGCCAGTGTACGTAGTGTTGTCATATGTTGGCAACAAACAGTCATGAGTATCAAAGGTACCCATTGACTGACGCACTTGACTGTCTCTGACTCCAACCTTTCAAATTTGATTTATTTGCAAGGAAATACTTAGAGTACGCAGACAATGCATTTCTTTTCGTTGAAGATTCCCCGTTATTACTCAGAATCATTCATAATGGCACAAATGTATGCATTTATTGTCATGTTCCTGATTTAGAATAGATTGTTAACCTTTCCCTCATCCATCTCTGTCCACTGCATGATTAATCTCGCGCATATTTTCTCTTCGTCTTCAAAATACTAACTGATGCTCACCTTTGCGAATTTCGATGTTGATTTGTCAGCTAACCCCTAGAATTGTAGCGGAATCAGTCATTTGGATTTTTCACGAGGAATCCTTCTGTCTGTATTGTGTGATAGTGGCGATAAATCTTCAGTCACCACATCCTGGTTGACACTCAGTGTAAAGTCTTTGTTGAATGAATTCATATGGTGATAGTTTTCGTCTTTTGATTTCTCACTGCTCCTTTCTCAACCAGATGTAATCTGACAATTTATATCTGAGCATTCCTTATCCACCTATTTAACTGAATTTTCGAATCATGCAACTTTTTATTGATATGCCGGGAGAAAAATTTGAGTTGGGACAGATTTTTGTAAGTTTCTGGGCTGTCAAAAAAGTTCATTTGGTCATCACAACGAAATAAAGCCTTAAATTATTCGTTTCAGTAATTAAGTGGAATTAACAGCTAAAAAACGGTGAATACTTAGACAAAGATAGTTCTGCAATTTAATGGAGTGACAGTTTGCTTAGACTTTACACTTTTGGCTCAAACAAACTTGATCTCTGTACACTTTTAAGTAGATAGTTAGGCTGATATCTGTAAATTAATTTACTGGCAGTACTTAGAGTTACCCTTAATGACTTCCTATTTAACACTCCACTTTGGATCGTTAGTTCAATTTTTTCATGCACAAACTTGGTAAGCTTTATTTGTTAATTTCAAAGATCAATGATTCAAAGTCATGCATCAAATTTTAAGACACCTACTATACTCATGCTAAAATCAAGTCCTGAACTTGTTATTTACTTATGTCGTATATTTAACTTATTTCATTATGATCTGGATCTGATGAGTCTACAAAGCATATAGTGGTGAAAGCCTACCGCGTATTTTTCACTCTGTAAATTAATTTCATGCTTTATCTTATGTGAATCATACAAAAATAGAAATTTGATGGAATACAAACTACATATTGCTTTAGGGATTAAGATATGAGTAGTAAGACGGTTGTAGATATTTGATTCAGTAAATTCTTTTGAGCAGGTCACAGTTCAGAACACCTCACAAACCAAGTCCGAACGAATCAGTTAGTATCTCAGCCACCGTACTATAAATATAGCTTATCACATAAATAAATATAAGATAGAGCTTCAGTATTGTATATTTACATTAATCGATGTGGTTCTCTAGCGAAACAACAGTGAATTAAATATCAGACGGTCACTTTGCTTGTTACATTTTAACCTTATCTAGGACTTTCGTGGAACTACGCGGCTCAGAGATACCCAGATTTTTCATTTTATTCCTAAACTGACCAGTATTTTAGGTATGTTATGTACTAGTTTCCCCGTCGCCAAATTGTTATGTACTCGTCGCTAAATTATTGTTATGGACTGGCCGAGCTATTTAATAGTCCTGACGCAAGAAGGCGGAAATCAGAAGACCACTAGGTTTGCGATGATACTTCTATTTCCAAACACAAAGAGAATGCAAAAAGTGGTATCACACCAAAGTAAGTGGTTAAGTGAGTGTAAGTCACACAAATTGTGAGAACGAAATATATATATCAAGGGTGTGAACAATCATTAGACAGTCTTAACATGAATGGCTAATTATAATGAAGTATCGATCCATACATACATAGCGAAATATAACAGACATGTCAACAACCACACATATAATATGGATATCTGTCACCAAGCAACGGACTGTCAACAAACACTCATTATATATAATATAAGGAGAATATACGTTGTTAAAGGAGACAAGTTCATACAAGTGAAATGGTCACAGACTAAGCGAGCAAACAGAAAGAGAGACCAACTTACACACACAAGTATATATATGTGGATATATATCAAGGTATGACTAGTTTTCTCTGGAGAAAACAAGAGTTCCATTTATTAAATGACGAAAGGTAGTTATGGATATCACGCAGTTCTTTATCTCAGTTTTTGGACGCCAGGATCCAACGGAATACAAAGAATGTTTGAAGGGTTTATTTCGAGGGTAAAATCAGTTAAATTTCACATTGCTCATGCACTTCATCACGTTATTTTTACTATAAACTTGGACCTACAAAAATATGTTCACTAGACGTAGAAAATTATTTGAACTGAAGATTAACATTGTTGTAACATTCCCTTGGCTGGTTGTCTCTTTCTGGTGTGGTGTTTTTTCCATTCCTTGTGGTCCGACTAGAATACAGGGCTTCAGGCTTTGCAGTTTCATCAGCGATGGTGTTATTTTAACGAGGCGTGGTTGTTGATCTCGCCTTGCCTCTTCCCCAGGCTTACTACCGACTGGTTATCAAAGTAACATTTAAGAGTATATCAGCTGGGGACGAAACTCAGGCTGCGCATTGGTTGGCAAGCATCCCACCATTGAACCATCGACGTACCTGGTGTGATGCAACTTCAGAAAATCCTCAATCACTATATGCTGTATTGTAGTGTACATGGTTTTCAGGAAAATGTAGGTATCATAGCCTTCAGTTTTTCTGTTTGGAACTGATAAAAGGATGACATTTTTTCTGGTTATCATATGTAACCAGGCTTATCAATAACTGTAGTTACATAAGTGGTCTAAGTATTCGTCTCATAACTGAATTCAGAGCCCAACTCATTCATGGAGATTAATTTAACCAAGTAAATAGCATTGTGTCACGCACTGGATATAGTTTATTATGTGGTGTATGAACATACAGGTGAGTGATTCTATCGGTATTACGCTCAGTAAATCTTAAAACAAAGAAAGTTTTAGAATTTATTTACGTAGGCTAATATCAAACCCACTGATATCTCAAGCACAAGTTTAATATTGATTGTTTTTGTTAATTTACTTTTATTAGCGAAACCGTGTTTCAGATAACTTGACTAATTCGGAGTCATACAATAATAATGATACTAGTAGTAAGAGATAATTTGATTTAATTGAATTTCAACTGTATCTTATCTTTTTGACCGGCCTAAACATAGTTTTATTGACTGGCACTGTATGTACTTGAACATCGTTCTCCATTTTGCACACAATTATCAACACAGATACATATATGTAATGTACTGGCAATTTTGCTTTCACTCAATCTATTATTTTGTTTCACTCTAATTAGTATTTTTAATTGATAAAACTTATATTATCAGCACATGAAAGGTATCAATTTATTTAATGCTACCGTTACCACTCTCGCATGCTAATCACGTGTTGAATGGTTAAATGTGATTATATATATATATATATATATATAGTCTAAATATTTGTCATTCTTGAGATTATCTGGTGTATTGTTCCAGTGCTTCCGGTACTGTTCGACTTGGTCGAAATAAAAGAACTGGACAAATCGTGGCAATTAAAGTAATGAAGTTGGATAAACAACCCAATCGTGACTTGATTATCTCAGAAATCGCTGTTATGAAACGTATACGACATGAAAATATTGTCAACTATTTAGAATCGTACATATTAAAAAATGAAAATCAATTATGGGTTATTATGGAGTATCTGGATGGTGGCGCCTTAACAGATGTAGTCACTGAGACTGTTATGTCTACTGATGTGATTGCTGCTGTTGTTCGAGAATGTGTAAAAGCCCTGGTATTTCTACACGACCAAAATATTATACACAGGTATGTTCTATCAGTGTTAATCTCGTGTATTTTGCTTTGTTCTTTTACGTGTTTATGGAATTTCTAAAGTATTCAAAATTCTTTCACGTGCTTAATGTTATTACCATATACCATTAAATAAATGTAATCTAATTAAAAAATAGAAAAAATAAAGTTGCGGTAGAGCAATGAAAATAATTAATGGTATTCAAAGTCACTTTCCCCTTCGTTACTGAAATAATTTTTCGTGCAAAAAGTTCTTTTTTGTCGTATTGATATCTAACTAACGAGAAATACAGCTGTTAAAGTGCTTCCATGTATGTATCCCGTCCTGTTTTTCACTTTACAGATGTGACGCTTAAGGTCACATCTTTAAACCTAGTTGTAGTGTTGTATATATATATATATATATATATATATATTAGCGAAACCGTGTTTCAGATAACTTGACTAATTCGGAGTCATACAATAATAATGATACTAGTAGTAAGAGACCATTTGATTTAATTGAATTTATATATATATATATATATATATATATGTATAAGATACATGTGAGTTTTCCTAAAATGTTCCTACTCTACATTTTTCTTTAACACTTTTGGTTAAGTGACTTCATTTTCATCTAATGCGTTATGAGTTCAAACCTTATCCTACCTACTGAAGGTTAGACCCCCCAATTTAGTTTTATAGATCCTTACACGTTTTGAACTGTATTATTGAATGCGTGAACATCGACATAACATTTCAAGATGATATGCTTTTATAAATGTTATCTTGGGAAAAAATTGGGGTTTTTGACATCAGCGGATCAGATGCGTTGCTCTTAATGATTATAATTCTATTAAAAATTCGAAAATTTAATGTTGTAATATTGTCGACATACACCATAGGTAGAAATCTGGTTCGTTGGCTTGCATACAGCTTTCAGTAAATAGATCTCGGATTCAAATATTTATCCACATAATTCAACCTAGCCAACTGGGTGCAATCATCAACCTTCACACAAAAGTGTAGCTCTCAGCACACTAAATGAAAACTTCGAATAATTGAGTTCTAACTCTGACTGAATACATTCTGGACTATATTTGATTATGTCGTATGAATACTTGCAGGTTTGTGTTTGGCATCTCGTTGGTCATAATCATCGTTTGTAGCTCTCGTTTATTTTCCGTTTAGACATTTCAGATAGGTAACACTGAAATCTTTTAGAAGAGTCTATCATCCCCAGTTACCGAATTTCGGTAAATAATACACAAATAGGAGAAAGAGGACTGAAAATAACTGACTAGCCTACCAATTTAGAGCTTAGAGAAAACGAGCAGATGACCTTGGCAAACTTAGAAGTATATATATACATAATCTATTTTATTATTGTTCCCTTGGGTTCCTAGTGGAACATAGGGCTTCAACTGCACGTCTTCACTTGCTTCTGTCTTCTACTGTACTTTCCACCTGTATCCACGTTAGTCCATACTGTTTCATCTCCTCTTCACACGATCTCCTCCATGTCACCTTTGGACGTCCCACTCGTCTCTTCCCTTTCGGGTTCCACTCGAGGGCCTGACGCACGACGTCACCCAGCGGCCTCCCCAGCGAGTGTCCAATCCATGTCCACTTTCTCCTGCATATTTGTCGGGCGATTGGTTCTTGTTTTGTTTGTTCCCATAGTTTCTTGTTGGTGATTCTTTGTGCCCGGCCATCTGATCTTCAGTATAGATCCAGCGAAGACAGTTGTTGATGAAGGTATGCAACAGGCTGTTGGAAATATTCTTTGTGACCCACCGCCAAGTTTCTGATCCGTATAGAAGAACTGACTGACTTGACGTTTGTATTGAAAATCCGACGAATTTTGTTGTTGATGCTGGCTGAGTGACGAAGATTTCCAGATTGATTTCAGGTTGATGAATGTGTTTCTCGCCTTCCCGATTCTCGCTCGATTTGACATCCTCGTCCGCTCCTCCTGTAGTTGAGACAATGCTCCCTAGATAAGTGAGTGAATGAAGTAACCTCTTTCAAATCCCTCCCGTTGATGGTGATTGACGTTGGATGTTGTTGGTTGGTTATTTTCATAACCTCCGTCTTGTCTATGTTTACCTGGAGTCCTGTCTTTGCTGCTTCTTCGACCAGTTTGTCGGTTTTCGCTTGTAAGTCTTCGATTGTGTGTGACATCAAACATAAATCATCCACGCGCGAAATCCAGGTCTTCTAGGTTCTTCACGTCGGTCCAGGATATTCCTGTCTTCTCGTTTCCCACTGTCTGACGCATAATCCAGTCCACCACAATTAGGAATATCATTGGTGATAGTAAGCACCCTTGTCTGACTCCTGTGTTTACTCCAAACGCCTCGCTGAGTTTTCCGTTGTGGATCACTTGACATGTGCCGTTGTCGTACAGCTGTTGAATAAGGTTGATGAATATTTGGGGTACGCCGTAGTACTCGAGTAATTTCCAAATTACTTCACGGTCAACGCTGTCGAAGGCCTTCTCAAAGTCTATAAAGTTGAGGTAGAGGTTTGATTGCCATTCCATGCTTTGTTCGATGATGATGCGTAGAGTTGCAATTTGGTCAGTACATGATTTGCCTTTCCTGAATCCAGCTTGTTCTGGTCGGAGTTCTGTCTCCAGTGCGTCCTTTAATCTCTCCAGGATGATGCGACTCAGGATTTTACTTGGCGTCGACAGGAGCATGATTCCTCGCCAGTTCTTGCAGAGTGGGCCTAAGTCGCCCTTCTTTGGTAGTTTCACGAGGTAACCTTTCCTCCAGTCAGTAGGCACCTTTCCCTCCTTCCAGACCTTTTGCAATAATGGAGTCAGCATGTCTGCTGTCGTCTCTGGGTCCGCTTTCAGTGCTTCAGGGGGTATTCTACCTGGTCCAGCTTTCAGAAGCTTGATTGCATTCAAGACTTCAGCTCTCGTTGGAGGATTGGTGTCAACTTGCAGTTGTGTGCGTGCTGTTGTTGGTATTTCTGGACGGGTTGCAGGTGATGGTCGGTTCAAGAGTCCTTTGAAGTGATCCGCCCATTGTTTAATCTGTTTTTCTTCCTTGGTAATTGGGTTCCCTTGGCTGTCTTTTATAGGTTTCGCTTGTGTTGATCTCTTCCCGGATAGAGATTTGGTTATCTGATATAGTGTCCTCAGGTCCCTTTTGCCTGCTGCCTTCTCAGCTTCAGTGGCCAGGTTGTCGTAGAATCGTCTTTTGTCCTTCCTAGCACTCTTCTTCACTTCTTTGTCCAGTGCTTTGTAAGTTGAGCTCAGCGTCTCCTTCTCCTGTCCGTCCTTGCATTGAATCATTTTCTCTTTCACCATTCTCCTCTCTTCTATTAATTTCCAAGTGTCCGTTGAGAGCCATTCCTTGTCTTGTCTCTTCTTTCTTCCTAGAACCGTTGAACACGTTTCGTTGAGAATCGCCTTCAGAGACTTCCAATGTTCTTCCACGCATGATTCTTCAGTGATGTCGCGTAGTGTTTCCTGCTTTGCTCTGACAGTTGCAGTGAAAGTGTCTTTTGTGGTTGTGTCCTTCAGTAATTGAGTGTTGAACTTGCATTGTGGCCTATCCCCAGCTATCCTCGAGGCTTTTAGTTTCACCTTGAAAGTCCCTTGTACTAGATAGTGGTCTGAACCCACATCTGCTCCTCTCCTTGACCTTGTGTCCAGTAGGCTCCGTCTCCACTTTCTTGAAATTGAGATGAAGTCTATTTGATTCTTGGTGTTTCCATCTGGTGAAATCCATGTCGTCTTGTGTATATCCTTGTGTTTGAACACACTACCACCAATCACCAAATCATTGAAGGCGCAGAAGTCTGAGAAGAGTTCACCATTGTCGTTCATTTCGCCGAGGGCCTCACGACCCATGGTGAGTTCTCTTCCTGTGTTGTCTCCTCCCAGCTTCGCATTCATGTCGCCCATCAGGATTTTGATATCGCCATTTGGGACGTTGTCCATTATTGCTTGTAGTTGTCTGTAGAACGCCTCCTTCTTCTCTTGTTCTGAGACGTTTGTAGGCGCATAGCATTGAATGACTGTAACTTTCCTTCCTTTTGAGTTGAACCTGGCTGTCATTATCCTGGAGGAGATTGGTTCCCACTGCATGAGAGCTTTGGTTGCTGTTGGTGACATCATGATGGCCACTCCCTCGGTGTGCTCATGGTTGTCCTCTGGGTGGCCGGAATAGATTACTGTCTCTCCAGTAGGTAGTTGGCACCTTCCAGTTCCGTTCCATCTGCTCTCGCAGATTCCCAACACTTCTATTCTGTACCTTCTCATTTCAGCGGCTATCTGGGCAGCCTTTCCAGTTTCGTACATTGTACGAACATTCCAGGTACCCATCCTTACTTTTGCTTTCATCGAAAGAAGGCACATCGGCTGACTGGCTTCCCGAAGGCTTTCACCAGCCTGCGTCATTTTACTTCCCGATTCCAGCGAAAAATAAGGTTTTTGTTTATACTTTTAGTATTTTTACTACATCTATGCGTTGAAGTTTCTGTAGCAATTCGATTAAGTTTTGGGGGTGAAGTTGTTTGCACCACGCCCCAAACCTCTCTCTTTATCCGGGCTTGGGACTGGCCAGAAAACTAGCGAGCTAGTAATCTAGGCGAAGGAAAAGAAATGTAATGGAACTTTAATAGGTGAAGATGTACAGAAAGGAGAATAATTAAGTGGGGTTTAGTTCAGATTTCCGGCTTTGGAGTGATAACTAAAAAAGTGAATATACCTGTTGTGGTTTGAATGACTTTCATCTATAAAATTAAGAGTCTCCAACCATCTTTTTTGAGGGTCCTTGTCAGAAAGTTTTCATCAAACAGATAGTTAAAAACTTCGTGGATTGATGTAATTTTAGGGCCTGATAATCTTTAACGCTTTCCCAACTTACTTCTATACCATCTGATATTATTCTTTAAGGAAGGCGGTGGCCTGGCATGTGCATCAAACGTTCTAGCCATCAATGTGCAGCTCCAGAAATCTGTCGATTGTCCTGCTGAAGGGTTGCATCGATCAATTCGCATAAAGCTATAGGAATCCATTAGCATTCACTAACCATCAGAATGGTTCTAATGTCGGGTTTCTTCAGGATGTTATTTTTAGACTTATGTTTAGATATTTCCCCTCTAACTATAGACTCATCAAAAAACTGAGCAAATGGCAATTCAGTAGCTACTTGTCCTCTGCATCGTAGGCGTACACGTGTACGTTGATGTGTAAAACTGACAATTCGATAGTGTTTCGTGAGAGCTGTCTGCTAGCCAAAATTGGTAGGCAGCAATTTACGTCAATGTTTACGTCCCAAATCTTGGTCATGAGAAAAAAACAAAGACTAACTCAACAACCAATAACAGCAGACTTAGCGTGGTTGGATACGATTAGCAGAAATATCAATGGACTGCCTAAGAAACGGCAACAAAGAGATGATAGAATAACCAATAACAACCAATCAGAAGACGTTGCCTCTCTGCTAAAAATAACGAACAATAATGTACATAAAAATATATAAATATCCGTTAATTTTGTCAATAAACGATCTGTTGCCTGGCCCTTGTCTTCTGTCTTTGCAGTGTGTACTTCTACAGGAGTGTTTATTGATGTGATTATGAACAATAAATTGTGTTCGATACATAATCCGTTAGATACTACTGTTTCACCGTGTGATATATCAACTAAACAAATTTATATGGAGGTACACTTGTACGAAATAATACTGATACATGATTTCAGTCCATGCAGGAGTTCGAGAATGAACAGTCATCTCCCATTTAGCAAAATGGTGTGTTTGTGCCCATCTTTAACTTGAAGTCCATGGTTGCCAGGTAGCACGGTTTTCGCTTGTGTTTGAAATTAATGTTAACCTTGAATATATGGTTATCTAGACATGATCGTAGTTCATCCGTCGGTATGGGGCTCCACATATATCTTCCATGTACTTTTCAAAGTATCTCAGCTTTCCTCCTTGAGCATTAAAATCACTTACTCATATGTTTATAAAGGATTCTTTTGCTTATGTCAACAGACTAGACAACTTTCGATAAAACTCATCCTACTGCGGTCAGTTTGTGTGAGCTAAGATTATGAAATGCCATCGAGGAGTACCACCATGTTGTCTTCTTCCTCAGCATCTGTTCAGTCGTTTAGCACAAATACAACTAACCACTGAGATTCAGCTGATTAGTTGGCTTGTTGCTATCGACCTCGATACTATCTGTATACTAGGAAGTGCAAAAAAACTGCTGACATATATAGAGTGGATTTCGTAAATTTACCAGTTGTTATTAAGCAACCACACTTACGTCCTGTTGGAATGTCTTAGAAACACTATATAGGTCCAAAACTAAGATGCCAATTTTTCCTGCCGATGCTTGTGTATATGTAGCATTTCGAAATTAGGAACAGCATTCCTCTGACTGAAGCCGCTACCAACATTTACAACAGAGAAAAGACGCTCCAGGAGATTTTGTCAACAATAAAGGCAAGAATATGGAGGTGAGTGAGTGATGAACGGAGGGCTTTTGTGTGTTTTAAAAGTTGTATTTTTAGACGCCACTTCCAGGATGCGTAGAACGTTGAAGTTGATTTATACTTTAAGCACCTGGAATAGAAAAAAGACTAGTGACTTCTGACGAGCACAAGAAATAGTTTTCGGATACCGACCTCATAGTCTACTTTACACATAAAGAAAATGAAACTTTGTCCGTACAGAAGATGTAACTGCCACCATCTTCTCATCTATCCTGTTGTGAGTGCAAATACCAGTCACCTGATAGAAATACCTTGGCTGTCCCCTATGAGTACGTCTTTTCTCATAGATTCCCTGCATGGTGTAAGCACTGCACACCATGATGGTAACTACTTTTAGTCTAATTGCTATCCAACCAAATTTTCTGGTATGATAGGACATGTCGGAATATTCGTTCCAGTCAGCACAGTTCTCTGAGTAATGTGCTTGCAGATTGAGTGTTGTTGGTTTTCGTATGTAGTTTTTAGGGTGAAACAGTTTTCTTTGGTTTTGTAGTCACCATAGCGAACTAGGATAATTATGGAAGAAGAGAAAATAACGAAATAGAGACAGATGAAGATACCTGGGAGATGATAATAAGCGAACGACACGGTGTCCATGTTAACTACAACCTCTAGTTTGCAACTTCAGTGCTCTCAGTCGGAGACATTAAGTTTGAATAACACACCTGTATTCATTTTTTTAATGAAAAAAAAACAAGTCGAAGTAGATCACCCATCTTTACGTGATTCAATCCTTTCCGTCCAATTTATCCATATTATAAGGATTTTTAAAAACAAACGTGATAAAATACGTGCATCAAGAAAACTAATATATTTACTACGTTCTCATTCTGTCTGTCTGTTTCCGACATAGAACTTTGCACATATGTGCGGCAGTTCAAGTCGCCACACTCCCTCCATGTAGCACACAAAGCAAGAGAAGAAAGTACAAGAAATGCATAATAGAGACAGTAAACAGAGGTGTGAGACAAAGGAATAGTATTAACGAAGAACAAAACAGTTTCATTGGAAATCATAAGTCACAAGGAGTGGATGCATCTGCGCTAGCTATTGAAAACAATTTTGAGCCATGTCACCAATTGTTTCCAACCATAGATTTTTACCGTCCCGAGGACCCCAACCAGGAAGTCTACACCTTCCTACGTGCCTTAGACTAACTGTTATAGATTTCATTGACTGGTTTGACCGCTGCTAGCTCTTTTCCAGCCTGATCCTATATCAGCTAACATTTCCCGTCGAGGAAGGCGATGACTAGGCATACGTAGCACATGTTCTAACCATCTCGGTCTATGTAATTTCACAGCCTCGTCGATTGATTTCCCTCCTTACCTAGCACTCGACGCCTAACCTGAATATTGCTCACCTTATTGTACCACTTCGCACGGGAGATAGAACGCAGGCACCTATGATCAAAGACATGTCATGTCTTCCACTCTCAATGGCGAGGTATTACAGCCATAAAGGGGGACGGAGCGGACTGATGAGCAGTACACCCGCCCTTTGGTCGATAGTCGGATATCGCGTCTACGCCAGAGATGACGTAAACTGGCATATTCGAAACTAGCCTCCTGTATCCGTGCTGAGATTTCGTCAGAGATCAACCCGTTGGCATTGGCTGATGGTACTTCCCAAATAAGTGAATCGGTCAACGTGCTCTACCACTTCACTTCCTATTTCTAATCTAGGAGTCGGTGTAGTCCAGTCCTGCAACATCATCTTGCATTTGGCGGGAGAGAATCGCATGCCAAACATTCGTAGATTGTAGCTCAATGTGTTCAGGAGACTCTGCATCTTGTCAGCGTCCTCGCCTAGAAGGACTATATCGTCTGCATATCCTAAGTCAACGAGATTATTCCCTGGTAGCAAGTCAATCCCTGAGTCGCTGAAGTGAGTTAGGGTTAAGTCCATTAGTACATCTATGATGAAGTTGAATAGAAATGGGGATAATAGGCATCCTTGACGGACACCACTAGTCGTCACCATTTCAGATGATAACTCGCCGTAAACCCTCACCTGGCTGCCAGAGTACGAATAGAGTGCCTTAATCATTGCATTGTATTTTCTCGGGACTCCCTTTACAGCCAAGAATCGCCAGAGAACCTCTCGGTCGACAGAATGGAATGCCGCCTTTAGCTCAGGAAATATAATGATTGTTGGACGCCGGTAGGAATGCCTATGTTCCAGAATCTGTCGGAGGGTGAAGATATGATCAAGACATCTTCTTCCTGGTCTAAAGCCTGCCTGATTCTCTCGTGTTTGTTCCTCCCGAGTACCGTTTAGTCTACGCATGATTATTGAGCCTAGGACTTTAGATACTATATTAGTCAAGCTAATCTCCTGTGATTATCACAAGAAGACCTGTCTCCTTTCTTGTATATGGGTATAATCAGTGACTTACACCAACCCGACGGGACTTCCTCTGATTCCCAGACGCTGCCTAGAACCTCAGTTAATGCAGACAGTAAACTGTCTTCGCCGTACTTAAATACCTCTGGAGTCATTCCATCAAGTCCCGCTACTTTGCCTTGTTTCAGATTAGCGACAGCTTATCTCATCCACATTATCTTGTGAAAGAAAAGGGGAATGTCGTACAACACATTTCGTTTTGGTAAGTCGAATACAGAGAAGAATAAAAGTTTGAATAAAACATATATTTGTATTTCATCGGTTTTTCAGAATGTGGCTTACAATTTGTGAATTCTAAAAATCAATAATAATGCGTATAAAACTATGACTTTTGAGGATACACGTTTAGATTTATTTTGGGTATTAAGAATGCCTAGTACACCATAGTTTTTCTAGTGAAGTGATTTTAATTCATAGCTTTCAACATTTTACAAATCTTTTTGTATTTACTGGCCATTGCAGTACTCCGCCTTTTGTGTTACTTGTTCGGTTATTGACTCAATGGTCACACGGAATACTGTAAAATCAGTAATACATAATTTGCATATTATATGTATATGTATATATCTTGAAAGAAATCAAGCCAATTTGCGATTGTTTTTGTAACACAGGGATATAAAGTCAGACAATGTTCTTCTTGGTAAACAGGGTCATGTCAAAGTTACAGACTTTGGATTTTGTGCTCAGCTTGGCAATAGACAAAGTAAACGTCAGACAATGGTTGGGACTCCCTACTGGATGGCCCCTGAAGTTGTTTCAAAGACAGCAAATTATGGACCTAAAATCGATATATGGTCGCTTGGAATAATGATAATTGAAATGTTAGACGGAGAACCGCCGTACATGAATGAACCTCCACTTAAGGTAAGTTCCTCTTGCTATTACCCTTAATGCAGTTTCATTATTATTTTTATGTCGCTAGACGAATTATCAAAAGCTATATTTATTCTGAAATGTTAATGCTCTACTAACTCCCCATATCATTAGAATACTTAGTGGTCACTAACTAATTGTTGTTTGTACTGGAATTTCGACATCTTTATTCTACTGACTTTTACAGAAGAGTGCCAAACGTATTTTGCCCAAAAACAGCCTGTTGACTAGGCAGTGTAGAATAGTAGTTCCCTAAAAATACGTGTGCCTTCGTACTTGAAAGTTTTAGCAACGTAACGTTTCCCCACGCCAGTGTTGTTATAAGTTGAATAAAAATTGAATGACTACATGTTTTCAATTAGTTAATTAAGTAACCAACAATACACAATGGATGGTTCACCTTGTTAAATCATTTAACAAGATAAGTGTTTAAAACTGGCACAAACTTATTGTATATGTTTCGCATATTTAGAACCTCATTGGATTGGAATTGTCTGAGCTGTGAATTAATCCACTCATAAAATAAAGTTAACAGGTTCGATATCAATAAACTCGTTTTTCCAGACATAAAAAAATATCAGTTCAATCGGCTTTCTTCAATTTGACGTACCTTAAATATATACAGATTATCTGAGTAGATCATATGTTCAGCATACCATGTAGCGTGTCATTTTGTAGCAAATTCTCCTAATGCTGACCCAAACTTTTGCAGTAAAAAATGAACACTGGTTGTCCGCTAAATCAACTATTGAATATATGAGTGCATATTAAATATGATCCAGGTGGCAAGCTATAAGCTTCTCAGCACGCTGCATACTACTAAATGTAATTCTGGTATAAATGCGGTTGATTGACCTAAACAATCGACTTTCAGTCATTGGACCAGGGTTTGAATCTCCCCGTCACTTCACATGCGTACTGACGGATTGCAGCCCGGATGCTATTGAAGATGAATTCTACCATCGACTGAGTGAGCTTTTTAATCCCACGCAATCAGCGGATATCGCAAGTTGGAGACTTTAATGCACAGATAAAGTCAAGGATCACATAAGAGTCGTTCGAGTAGTCAGTCAAAACTGGATGATTGCAGTTCAATGTGGGGACTATGTGGAGTTCGCGTGAGTCATAACTTATTTCCCATCAGTACCGAATTTTACATCAGCTACGACCGAAATTGAATCCTCACTCTGCCTCTCAAACCTGGACTCAAATTGATCACATTACTACTAGCTACCAATGGGTGCATACAAATTTGCCGTTTATTCTGGAACCCTTGTCATTATTGTTGTCGTATGGCACATACCTTGGAGTCCATTTTGCACCAAGTTTACTTCAAATAGAGTAAATTTCGCTCCACGCCGAGGTGTTACATTCAACCCTCATACAAAAAGTGTTTACCGTATTCTGAAACACGAAAGACAAGTGTCGGATGACTAAATTTAGACGCAAATCGAGGTAACTGCGATAACACTAAGCACGATACTGTCCTGTAAATGGTGTAGACGTATTAGTATCTGGTAGTGTCTTACATGGTACTATATATACATCAAATACTACAGTTTGGGAGCGGTAGTTACACATATTTAATTTCCATGTCTCACAATCTATATCACAGGCTTTATTACAGCCTATATTCTGATAGGCATCATCATGAAGTCAGTATTCTACTAAAGAAAGAAATGCAATCGTACAATCAATGTTTTAGTATATGGAATATATATAACTTCATAGGAAAAATGGTGCACTGCCAATGCGGTGAGTCTCCAGAGGAACTGCGTTGTGTTTAGACCGCCTGTCTGCAGTCCTCACAATCCTATGAATGAATGGTCGGAGACTATTAACTATATAGGTGAAAATCATCCGCAAGAGTGCAGGTGTATTCACTTCTAGCTATCCTGCAGATGCCGAAAATCCTCACTAATCCCCACCTAACTGTTCTGTCTGTCCGCCGTGATGTAGTTCTGTTATATTTCTCTTCTCTACGTTCGTGTGCTTCTTCCAACTGTGACAACCTGCTCTGCGTTAATAAATCAGTCAGAAAATCGTTTGTGCTATTCTTATTACCTAGTATTCGGCCCGAACTCCAACATTAGTACAGCAATGATTTCTCTTACGATTGCTTATTTATGAATTAATACCCTTTATAATGTAAAGTTGAGAGGTTTTCTTGACTTCAAGGCTGAGTTATTCTTTCTGACTAACGTCTAATCCATCTTTGCATAATATAGGCTATTTACCTCATTCAAACTATGGGAAAGCCCAAACCTAAAACCAAGCACCTACATCCAATGCTACAAGACTTTTTGGATAAATGCTTAGTTGTAGATCCCCTCAAACGAGCCTCTGCACGTGAACTTTTAAACCACGAATTCTTCAAGTATGCAGGTAGTTTATCCTCTCTTGGACCTCTTATACGTGCTGCGCGAGAAAGTTTGGGAAAGAAGGACTAATGATAGTGATATTAGAAGCGTTCAGCAGAATACATGACGGAGTTGTGCAAAATCATGATGATCTGGGACTTCTCCATATACGTATCTTCATCAAAAGTCTAATCTCAGAAACAATTTTCAACCTAATCGCTTGATTTTTACATGACTGTATCTCTTATACATCGATATTTTGTATGCTTTGCTTCATTTTTATCTTATTTGATATGTACCAGTTGGTTTAACTTAAAGTTTTAATTTAGACTAGTATGTTGTATACTGTGGAATATTTTCTGGTGCTTTTCAGTACTTCAATCAAGTCTTTCTACTGCATCACACATGTACCTTAACATCTAATCAATTTATGCGATTGTGTGGCAGTTCCCCTTGATTTTTCATATGACCTTTGCTCCAAAATTTCTTAACGTGTAATAATATATATTGAATTTCTCCGGGGTATTTTTGAGTAAAAAAAAAAGAAAATCGTAATACTTCTGAGGAACTTTTTATGTGGAATTCATATCACTTATCATGTGTGCAACAGTTAGATTAGGCGAAATTAATCAGTGTATCTGCACAAAAGATAATCATATTGGTATCGAAAATAAATGTTAGCATAAGTACCTGGAGTTCATGGTGTGAGAAAACGCTATCAACAAGTTTGAAGATTGGCCACAGAAAAAACAAAATTATCACATCGCAATCACCAACTAAAGGTCCTCCAAAAGCATTGGCTGAAACAAAAGAAAGGTAAGCTGACCGATAGTAATCGAACCACTAACAAAAGCTAATAATCAAGTAGACATTAAGATAGGAAATAGCATTACTACGTTGCTGCCCAACTGCCATAAACCATATTTGCAAATCAAGTAAACGATAAATAAGTATGTACGGAGACGAGAGTGGCACTTGCAGAATGCTGAAAATGAAGATCAGATAAAGAAATACTACTTAACAGTTTAGCATCAAAATAACACCCGGCCAGACAACCTACACAGCTCATGCCGTGGGTTTATGGTTAAGTGTCATGCTCTTAAGTCTCAGTACCTTTGGTTTCTTCTAATTTAATTTTACTTTCGATAAGAGGGTAAACTTCTGTTTATCGCCTACGATTGACGCTCTACTTCTCCATTAGATAATCTGTGGTTTCGCCGAAAACCGGTCGCGAAATTGCTCGGCAGTGTCTGAACACTCCGTTGGGATGGGTCAATTTAGTATAGTTATGTCCTCAACTATTTCTTACACAGTAACCTTCCGATTCTGGTAGTACTTTTATAAAAATCACCACTGTGCGTTAACAGACATTACAAAATACTTTGCTCTGATATGGCGAACGCCTAGTGGCCACCCTGCACTATATGATAGTGCAATCTTGCCAAAGACAAAGTACCTTTTGTGACTGATGAGGTTTCATTAGCTATGAACCTACAGTGCTGATGCGGCTTTTTAAATACGACGAATGGCTGTCTCTAATATGCATTTCTTCTACTGTCTTCTCTTGCTTTGTGTGCTACATGGAGTGTGGCGACTTGAACTGCCGCACATATGTGCAAAGTTCTATGTCGAAAACAGACAGAATGGCTGAAGTGCTCAGCCACATTCCCTGCTGTCATACAGGATGGCCGAAAAACCACTAGTCAACAACTTATTTCGTTTCTGGTAGATTTGAATAAGTTATCTTAAGGTGGGCAGGATACAAAACTCACACTAATCCGTCCTGTACTCGTATTGTTTTCACCAATACCTCTTTGGTATCGCCAGGTCATGTGTTCTACGTCAGGTACAGCAGTGCAGTATAGGATTTCTGTAAGATGAAAAATTAGAATAACACGTTACACTTTTACTCTGCTTCTGATATTTAATAAGGGAAAATGAAAACATTTGCAGCAATAATACTGCATGTAATCTAACCCTCGTCCTCAATGTTTAGCTGTGGCCCTACTCTGAGCGTGCGCTAAACATACTCAATTTTAATAGGCTGGGGAACACAATCGCAAAATGATTACTGAAGGAACAGAGCGGTTAGACTTAATAATCAAGTTCTAATACGACAAAATGGAATCTAATAGTCTGATGATCATTACTCCTATCAGTTCATAGTATTTCCCCGGTGCAGTTATCTCCTAACTTAACACTGCTTGATGGACTTGGACGGTAATTTCTAGATATGATACAGAGGATTTGTAGCTCAGGTGGATGATTTTGATGTGGTTTTGTTTTCTGAGCTGGATGGTTCATTTGCGAAGCTTTCATCACCCTACTGGGTGACATCTTCAGCGCATACTTCAGCTCAGAAAACAAAACCACATCAAAAACGGTAATTTCTTTATGAACTCCACGCTAATATGTTTGGGTGTTGGGGATCCGCTTCCCTTCAAGACAGATGCCATGAATTAATTTCGGTTAAAATGTCAAAACTGCTTAATACGCGAATGTAATATCAAACTACTGATTGGATTATGTACAAAAGTGTGACTCCACTTATTGAAATGGCACTATGCGCTGCCATGTCCTCGTAGTTGAAATTGCAGGACTATCAACACTGTGCGGAGCCAACTAGAAGTGTTGTGAATGCGCCAGCTGTTTTTGATTCTGGTTTTATGAACCAAATGGATTACAATTCCCTCAAGTCTGCTAACGTTAACGTATTTCCTTATGCAAACAACCACGATTGTTTTTCTTTCCCTGTGGTGAAGCATCAGCTTGAAGTGATATTAACTTATTCGGCTTCTTACGGTATTTATCCTTGCTAATATACTAAAAGTTCACCACATAAAAACACGAAATAAGTTCACGTTACTATTATTCATTTTGATGATAAAAAAAATCATTCATATATAAGTAACTTGCTAACAAACCTCCAAATCTTTCCCCATTCGGAAGACAAAATGACAGCGCTCCAACAAGTGGGCGTAGATAATTTATCTGCACACTCGGAGGAGTAACGTTTAACGTAAGGTCTACTATCTGACTTGGCTGTAAAGGTAAAATTGGGATTTTGCCGTCAACACCAATCGGAAGCCAAAGGACTTGACCATCGTCTAGAGACAGACTATTCAGTTTAGCAACTGTGTGATCTAACTGTTTACAACTATGATTAAGTAGTTATGAATTGATACTAACTTCAGAACGCAAGAAAGTCCCCTCTGGCCACGGACAGGATCCACAGTTTTCAATTGTAACTTTAATAAGTTCCCCGACGTCTGAGGAGTCATATGGCGAAGGCCATATACGCGCGTCAAATTCTCTTCTATCAGCTGAGTCAAGCGTGTTCTCTACAGTGGCGGATGCACTGTACGCTGTAAGATGTCCACAGCTTGTGGAATGATTGTCTTCAAAACTGAAATCGAAATAGGCTCCAATCGCTCGCTGTAAGTTCCTTAAATACTGATATTATAAGACTTCTTTACATTACCAGTCCGCTAGCTCCAGGAAAAACCGACAGGACTCATCTGTCAGATCATTTCCAACGACTGATTTGAGTTGCTGAATCAGCTCATCCCTATCTGTCGTACCCAGTGCACTGAACTGCTCAAGCAACTTGGCATCGATGTCAAACGTTCTTAATTCCATATCGAAAACCTCTCATAAACTCTTCATTTCGACGGGCATTCGGATGAAGCGCGCCATCAAGGACATAGAGTTACAGCATCCAATGTACTTATGACAACCGCGTGTAAGTCTTTTTATTCTGTGAGCTGCGACTTTTTGGCCTTAGAATATCATTTCAGTTTCCAAATTGATAGGCGTATTCATTGGCCCTCCTAGAGTTTCGTTTGACTGTCAAATGTTAATTCCCGTTTCGATGCAGTTTAGAATTTTTCCTGATAGTTTTCCCGCAGTCTTCTGCCTGCTGGCATACGGTCATGACACGACCGCTACCTGCTAAGATGCGGATCCGTTCGAACACAAGCCATACCTCGCTCGCTCAGTGTTTGGCCAACCTGGCACACCCCCAAGAAAATGGGTTCATCGCTTCGATCTGTTGCGATCGCTGAACGTAGACTTGACTGTCATTGGGAAGACCTGGGCCACCAAGGACAAAGCTGAAATTGAAAGCTAAATAAGAGGACAGCACACAACAGCAATACCCGCGTCTTATGTGCGCTCACTGTCACTCATCAGCAATGACGTGCATAACCCAACTAGAGACACTGCAGTTAACATTGAATCGAGTTTCAGCTCCGGCTTCTTCTTGACAATCTGCAACATGGGTGTCACCTGCTGTAACCAATCCTTCCGAAACAAGCATGACCATAGCAGTATCACATAATGCCATTGGCATAGCCTTTTGTGTGCTTTACACACATCAAAACTGCTACCACCTATCATTATTCTGCAGCGGTCGTAATAAAAGTGACGTATGCAAGCTTCAAATGTTAGCTTTTGAGTTGCTTGGTTCCTAACACTCCTTTTTTAGGCCAAATAATTAATACGTTTCGCTTACACGAACATTTAAAGCATAAAATTTAGCTGCATTGTGTAGGTTCCGATTTTCAGTTCAAGCGTACCAGCCCTACGCAATCCAATCAGATTAGTTTGTCGTCAGAGTTAATCATTCCTTTCATAAATGCAGAAGATACGAGACGACTTCAAAAGCTAAGCTGGTGAAATTTCATTATAATTTATTCAGCAGAATAAAACGCAGAAGACAATAAGTGAGTAGCGCCTGTTTGAGTAACAATTTCAATTTACATGGACGCTTCACATACATTTTCAGATAGTAAGACGAATTTCTTGTCCAATACGCTGATGTGCCACCCTTGAGGGATTCCTGGACATATAAAACTTTGCCTGTGATCTCTTTCAAGTTGATGGTTTTAAGCTGGAAGAACCCGAGGTGGGCATTCTTTGACCTCGTGACCATTTCTATGTCTTCAGCTCCCAATGGTCCTGTGTTCGTGATATATATATATATATATATATATATATATGATTATTAAGTGCACTATATGTCTGATTGGCCATGCCACAACATTGGGTAACTAATGTCCAGAAGAAGAGTATCCAGGTAGCAGGTGCAAACCTGAAAGTCATTTATTCGTGCAAGTCAGCTCCAAAGTTACTATTAATCCTCAGACACTCCTGCACACAATCAGTTCATCTTCTTCATTTTGCCATAAGTGGTCTGTTGGCCTCAGGAATTCTTGAAAATTTCCGCCACCTTGCTCCAGCTACATTCATGTCAGTCGGTCTCCTTGATATTAGACCGGTAGAATTCTGCTTAAACAATACACAACTAGTCGGTAGATGACTTCTTCACACGCTGTCTGTTTATAATCACGCAAACCTAGGTGAATCATCACAGAACGTTGCGTGATTTGCAAGGTGATTCAATTCTTACAGCTCTAAAATGAGCGGTATGAGCAGCTATCGGGACAGAAATAAGTTCTAGCCTAGAGACTGAAACAGCTTTCAGGTGTGCATTTAATCCTGTTGGAACATACATGGATGACAGTACACACCCACAATAAACCTAAGTCTACCACTGTCAATATCTCAATGTAAACTCATGGTGATATGTCCGCTTTCGTGCGCACTAGATTCTTCAATCATTTTAATTGCCTCTGCATCTTCGATAGGTCGACAATTTCCTAAGATATCGGTATTATGAGAATCTCTGTCACACACATACATGGATGATTTTGTTCCTTGGTTTCTAAAAGGTAACACACCTAAGCGTGTTTGTAGTGAATCATGTACCTCAAAGTAACTTAATATTAGCCACAATAACACAAAGATTTGTCTTAAAAGTGGATACTCACAGCAGACGTTTTACAATGAAATAAACCTCCTAGTTTACATATGGCAAAGTGAGCGACCATTAATCGTCGGACGCACTCCAGTCTCCGTCAGTTTCAACCGGAATGTTCCGGAAAATACTAATGGAATCCTCAAATCTGACGACAACCAACCCCAAAACTTTTAAGGACCGCCCGAAGACTACTCATATCCACATATGGAGTCTAGCTTTTACTAAACTAAGAAGATTAATCCTGGAAAAGCTAGGAATAGCGGAAGCTTAATCTGACTGGATGTTTCGGTTGGGGATTACTTGTCCTTCAAATGACCGAGGGGCTTGGCTGTCACATAAATTATCTAAGAAAAGTCAGATCAACTGATGCCCTTGTGAGACTTTTAGGGCCTTGTATGGTCAAACCGTCCTAAACAGGTACTCAGTACCACCCATTCAGGGTTTAAATAACAGCCCTCTATGTACCACAATATTTACCAAGATCAACTTGGACCATGGCAACCAAAATATTCCCGTAGCTGTAGAAGGCATTTCCCAAACTGCTGTTGCCGTTCAGTCCCAAAGGCTGTCTTTGAAGACAATCAAGTTGGTTTAATACGATGTAGTCACCATTGTGATTGCATTTATATGCATGTTACTCGATTTTCTATTACACAAAGCAGCTTATAATGATAGAAATGCCACTCTTAATCTAACACAATACAGTCCTAAGCATCGCGAAGTTATCATTTATACAAATTCATCATGTGATACAAAGGAGCACTGGGTTTGGAGCTCACCTTTTGTCAATGTATTTGAAGATTGAATGATCGATTCATGGTTGTTTGCTCAAACCCAACTCTATATTTCGGCGGGAGTGATCGATACTGCAGTCATCTTTCGCTGTTCGTCGGAGGACAGAGAAAAACTATCAGAAGTGCTATCGTGATTTGTTGTTACGACATTTATTTCTAGACTTTGTGTACAATAACCTAATAGTTGGTTCTGTATTGGTGCAAGGTAAAAGGTTCTTGATCACCAATTTGTGTACTGTTTTTTTGCGTTGGTTATTACGCATAGTTCCTGAAAGTCTTCCAAGGACAGTGTGAAGTCCAGTGTAGTTAGACCTGGACATTGACATCTGTCATGGTCACACTCATTTCCTCTTATCACGGAACTGATGGTCTTGTTCAACAATACCTTCACTGGACGCTAAAAGTTTTTTCTCGCTTCGAACATTAGTTTGGAATTAAATTACTACCTGCAACACTCCAACTCGCCGGATGTCCAAATGCCGATGCATTTCCATGGACTGCGAATGCACCCATGTGCAGTTAATCGCCGCTTCATCTCAAGCATTTTTTTGTTCGCTTGAATGTCACATAGCTTTGTCATTCTGACCACTCACTGCTTTCATGAAACAATCAGCTCGTTGTCAGTTTCGTCACATAACTACCTATTTTGTCGGGATGAACTCCTTTTCTTCGCCATTTTCTGTTGTTCTTCTGCCTTCTGTTTCAGGTCTTCCGCACACAACGAGTTTTATCGGGTCCTCCAACTCACAGTAACTTCCTTCAGTGGACGGAATAAACCTTGACTGACAACGGTGGGGGAGAAACGTGGATGTTACTTACAATAATTCCACTTCTGAACACAAACGTTTTACCTTATATACCACTGTGCGTTTTGCCTTATTCAGACCATTTTCGATTAATTAGACACTCGCACATTTCTTGCTTGAACTGACATTTTGTTAACTACCTACAAAATTCGGGCTTAACAATCGTACTCTTTGTGTTCGGGCGCTGTATAATATTTTATTTATATTTTTATATTTTATTACAGCTTGACTCCACACAGTATTTTTGATACAAGTAATATCGGTAGCCAAAACGTTTGCTGGCCGACCATTGATATCGGGTGCGCGTCGGCCGAAGATCGAACCTCGGACCATGTGCATAGTCGGCGAGAATCTTAACCACTGTGCCACCGACGCACAGAGGTTCTTGCCGTGAAAAGTCCCATTAAATATATAAAAGTTGTTAGAGGAAATCACCGGTGTGAAGCCATCCGATAAATATCCTTTATTTGATCCTGGTAAGCCTTGCAGGCCATTCATATGTCGTCTAGCAGGTGTTGTGGCTCAAAGAGCTACAAGTGTCAGTAATGACTGCTCCTCTGTTTTGAATAATAGCAACATTCTGAAGTGTCGCAAGTCATTGAAACCTACTCAGTCCCTTACTCCGGATGGTGTACCTGTCGTTATCCTCAAAAACTGTGCGAGCATTTCATGTTATTCTCCGACTCTTATTCGCAGTGAATCGTTTTCCCCTAACATAGTGCCTACTTCTTTGAATGGAGTCGAGATCGCCCCTGTGATCAAATCATCAAGTGGCTCAAGTGTCAAGTTAGGACCTTTTTCCAATACCCCGACATTTTTAAAACTAATGGGAAAACCGCTTCCACTTCATATAAAGGCCTTTAACGACGCTAAAACATTTGCTTATAAATATAGACTTTAGATTCCACTTCCATTTTATATCACAATACTCCCCCTTATTCAGAGAGAGAGGTGCCGAGTATATTTGGTGTGATTTCGTTGATTACATTCATGCCTTGACTCTGGTTGTTCATTACACTCTTGAACGTAAGCGTGAATTACGTGAACAGGTCTCACCATCAAAGATGGCACAAACGTTGAAATAAGTTGTATGTTAAATGCCTTGAACTGTATTTCCCCTGATCTTTCCCGGCCGTTATACAACTTTTTTAGTTTCCAGAAGGATATTTTGTTTAATGTTCTACGTAGGGAAGTTAAAGCAGTATGGTATCAGTCGAT